CTCCAACTGGCCTACATATAGGTGGTATGATTGCCTTTCTAATTTCTCATCTATAAAATCCTTTTTTCCTTCCTTTTATTTCTACTCAACCCATACATTCAACAAATACAGAAGTGTGTAGAAATGGCAAGTTCCTCAAGTCATCAAATAAGAAATATTTGTGTTTTCGGTGGATCTAGTCCTGGGAAAGAAAAGGAGTTTTTAGAATCAGCAAATCATCTTGGTCAGGTGCTAGCTGAGAGAAAGATTCATTTAGTGTATAGGGGAGGCAGTCTGGGATTAATGGGAGGTGTGTCAATCGCTGCATTTTTAGGAGGTAGTCAAGTTTTGGGGGTCGTCCCCGAAGCTTTAGCACAAGGGGACATCATTGGAAAAACAATTGGAGAGGAAATTCAGGTCTCCACAATGTTAGCTCGAATGAATACAATGTTTAACCATGCTGATGCCTTCATTGCTTTACTAGGTGGTCTAGGCACATTGAAAGAGATCTTTCATATTTCCTCTTGGGCCCAATTTCACATTCACCATAAACCCATAGGTTTGTTAAATGTTAATGGTTATTATGATAAGTTGTTGTCTTTTCTTGATCATGCTGTATAACAGGAATTTCTAACATCTTCTGCACAACAAATCATAATCTCTGCTGCTACTATTGAACAATTGATTGACCAACTACAATCTTTCATTCCTGTAATTGATCCTTTCATGAGTCGCATACATTGGTCAACTAAGGAAAGCCGTAAAAAGCTTAGATTGGATTTGAGCCTTCATTTATAAATCTTTGTGTCTTTTGGTTTTATTATTGTGTTTTGTTGTTGCTTATATTTGTTTCAGTGTGTTTCAAGTTTGTGAGTGTTCGTTATTTCAGGTGATATCTTCTATACTCTATCTTTCTACCTTTAAACATTGAGGACAATGTCTCGTTTTAGTTGGGGGGAGAGGGTAATAGCTAAAAAACAAACTATGTTTTCTATTTCATAAAGCATGTGCAAAATTGTTGTTACTATGATGGCAGAGTAAGGAGAACTTTTATGACTCTTGAGACGCATCTTAGTAACCATTCTTAACAAGGTCTATTATAATACTTCATGAAATATTTAGATTTACAAACTCTCGCATTGTTATCACTTAATTCTGCTCATATACTTATTTAACATGTATTCTTAAACCTTAATTTACACACACACTTTAACATATGATTGTGGGTTGCATATTGGATTATTACATTATTTATGTTCTTTTGTTAAAGGTAACAACTAAGGGAAAGGGATTGTATATAAAAAAAAAAAAGAAAAAAAACATGAAAAAAAAAAGAAAAAAAAAAGAAAAAAAAGAAAAAAAAATGAAAAAAAATGATAATAATAAAAATGTAGATAAGTTTGGTTTCGTAGCCTCCCTAACCTAAGCAATTAAGCCTGAAGAGGTGCTTTAACACCTAATACCCTAAAGTTAACTGACTTGGGAGCTATTGGCTCAACGCTTGATACATATAATTATATATTGATACATTGAGCACAAAAGAAAGGTTTATGAATATCTTGTTAAGAGGTATTAAGCAGATATATAAATCTAACGAGAGTTTGTTTATCTGGATAGATTAATGGAAGTTAAATGATGAATACCTTGCTTTGTGGAATTTGCAAATTGTTTTTCTATTTTAACGCTTTGATTACTAGGAACTAGTAATAAGCTGGTTGGGGGGGTGTAATTAGTACTTAAAAGTGCATTTTTATCAAGGTTTTATATCATCATTTTGCACTTGAAGTATCAATAACTCCTTAACTAAAGCATATTTTATAATAATATATCTAATAATATAAGATAGTTTTAATTTGTGGTAAATGTTCATTTTAAATGCAGGCCTATCACATAAATGAAAGGATTGATTGATGAATTTAAAAACTAAAATTGAAAGGATAAAGACATAGCCAAACTTAAAAAAGAGATGTCGGTGCAACCCACACCGGAACACTGTTCGGTAATTGG